GAGATTACATATATTATATAAAATTCATGTTTGATGATTATTGTATTAAAGATTCTAAAGGACTTTTCCAATACAAAAATCTTTAAGGTCTAACCACAATGTACTTCTAAAGGAGGATTACAAAGACTAAGACAAAGACAAGTGTTGAATTCTTCTTAATTTCTACAGAGGAACAATATTCCACAATATATGCATGTTGAACACTAAGTTACTAGATATTTATTATTTTATAAGTAATTATTTTTTAGCATCATAAATAGCCAGCAACTACAATTCCTCTGTCCAGCCTTGGGTTGCATAATAAGACATTGTGTTGAATCAGTAACTACACTGGTATTTCTTTTGCATCTGCTACACTCCACTCACTGCCTATGTGCTGACAACCAAACTTGGACATGGTAGGTCTGAGTAGGCAGTGCACTGATACCACAAGGGGGAAAAAACAGAAATCAACATGAGATGATTAAGAAGTCATCCAAAAAAAGTCAGTGATAAGTAGAAAATCTTTCTGTCTTTTTGTTATGCCTGGATGGGTTCTCTCTGCATAATATGGCTTACTCTAACAGTCCAAAGGCATATTTGCTACATTAAATGGTGGCAGACAAATTAACTGTAGGTCTGAAAGGCATGTCTGCCTTCACTACATCCACACAACCTCCTCGGAAGTCTTCCTCTTTTTCTCCTGTCTGGCAGCTCCATATTCAACAACCTTTGTCAAATATATCCACTACACCTCCTCTTCACATGTCCAAACTGTCACTACACCACCTTGCTAACTTTGTCTCCAGACTGCTCAACTTGAGCTGTCCCTCTGATACACTCATCCTGGTGAGTCCCAATGGAAATCTTACAACCTTCGACTCTGCCACTTCCAGCTCCACCTCATGTCGTTCTGTTTGTGCCACCGTCTCCAAAACATATATTATAGCAGGTCTCACTGCCATCTTGTAAACTTTCCTTTTCACTCTTGCCGCTATAATTCTGTCATGGTTTAACACAAGTAGGTAGCCAAAAATGCTGAGATATGTACTAACCTTCTGCAGATAACATTAAAAGTTAATTTACAAACCACACACACAAAACAGAAACCTAAAACTGCAAGGTTTATGATGGATGGATGGATGGATGGATGGATGGAAGGAAGGAAGGAAGGAAGGAAGGAAGGAAGGAAGGAAGGAAGGAAGGAAGGAAGGAAGGAAGGAAGGAAGGAAGGAAGGAACAGAAATTGCACCGCCTTGCAGCAACAGCTTCCTCCAGCTGGACAATGTACTCCACTGTGTATCAAAAACATCCCAGAAACTGATGACAAAGACCCCACGGATGGTTTTGACTTCCAAATTCCCCACATCCAAAGGTGATCAAACATCCCCAAGTCCAAGCCATGTAATCGCTACACCCTACCCAGTGCCTAAAGGATATGTCTGACAATGGTGGGGTGTCTCATGCTGCCTCAAGAAAAGATCAAGCTTTTTTGGCGACACAGGAGAAACAATAATATTAAAGTCAGGTTTACATTGGTAGACCAATGTATATCACATACAACATTTAATGATTTTTTTTGTCCATTATAGTAAATATTACATTGCATTAAAAGTGTCCCAGTTCCAGTTAAAGTCAACAGTTAACGCATAAGCGACTCAGTACAAGCCAGTCTGGTTGAAAGATAAAGTGGGACAGAGGTTGGTCATTAGAGAAGGTGTCCATCCACCTGGCAAATCATCAGGCGATGTTGACATTTTACCTGTCAGCAGACCAAAATGACCCTGGAATCAATTGCTGTTGCACTCACACCATGTGTGACTCATTCAATCTCACACAAACTCTGAAGCGTTTCTGCAACTCGTTTTCAGACACGAAAACAAAAACATGGATGCTTGTATCATCTTAAACTCACACAAGAAAAATGAATAAATAGATCTGAAAAAAATAGGTAAGACATTACTTTCATACACACTAAAACACATGCACAGGAAGGAATCATCTTTTGAGTATAGAACACAAATGCAGACTGTGGCTGGAACCCATTTTAGCAAATGTGATTAGCCCAACACACGCCATCTCATTAAGAGATTGAATCTTAATGCCAGCAGTGTTTCAGTGTGGGAGCATTATTTGGAAAGAAATAAGCCCAGATGCTTATCAGTGTCTTGATATCTGCAGCCCATCAGCAGATATCAGGAGCACATCAGGGATTCCTAAGAAGTGTAGTATACATACTTATAATTCAAATACCTACACACACCATTCAGCTGTTTTCCTACGCATCTGTACGGTGTGGATCTACACACACACACACACACACACATGCACACGCACACACAGCAGCATCTGTTTCAACATAAGTGCTTACTAATTAAACGATCAAAGGAACTTTTCTTTTATAAATCATGCGCTTTGTGCTGTTTGTGTGTTGGTTCATCACTTACCACGTGTGAATGTGTTTGTGAGTAACACATGTGTGAAGCCATGCGATTCTAAGTTTGTGAAGCCATACATCTATATCACACTGTGGACAAGTTGCAGGGAGATGCTGCATTTACACACTAGCTTTCATTTGTGGTCTAGATGGATCAAAACTATCCGCATTTGAAGAGTTTGCAATAGAAGATGTGATTTGCTATATTCAATTAAAACCAGACTTCAAAGTTTAACTTCAGTTACGCCTGAAGATTCATTAATTCAGATTAAATTTTTTTCTTTTAGATCAGTGACTTAAGTTTATGTATGTGTTGCTCAAAGGCTTCAAAGGTTTCTTGGATAACAGAGCAACAAGTTAATGACCCAGGACAAACTACACATGAGAAGAGATCTAAAAACTGACTAACACCAGAAGTGGTGGCGGCAATTAGAGAATCTGACATTCAGATGGGCGTTGTACAGTAAGACACCTTTAAGATCACCAAACTCATGCACATTTCTACTCATTTTGTTGCTGTATTGCCTGATGCTGTTGTCTGTCTAGCTACCTTTAAAATGTCTGTGTGCTTTATATATATATATATATATATATATATTTGTTTTTTTAATCACCAATGCACAGACCCAATGTCTATCAGGCCTAAACTTAGGCCTGATTGACTGCTGCGTTTCCAATACACTGATGGAAACCGTGAAGAATAAGTGCAATTTTTTGTGGCTAGAAATTCAATTTGCACAAAAGTACTTCCATTATTTCAAAATCATCAGGCCTACCTCTAAATCAATGAAACGCTATTCTAATCAGGAACCATACATTTATTTTGACTCTTCACGACAAAAATTTGCAGTGTTCTAATGCATCTACCTCTTTTTACACCTGCTTTTTTTTTTTTACAATAAGTAAATTAAATCTGTAATTTAACCTACTTTTGCCCCTGTCTTTTGCTTTGTTAGGTTTCTGTTTTCTTTCTCCACCACTGGACATTAAAACACATGTTTTCTGACACGGAGGAGTATTTTTTTTCCAAAGCTCTCTTCATCTCACTTAAGCAAATTGTTTGAGGCTTTTAAATCATTTCATACGTGCAGCTGATCCAAAACTACTAAAGTGTGGGAGGCTGCAGTCATGAGTAGATGTAACAACTTAACCCCTGCGACCTCAGCTGTCCTGCCTGTGCAAATAAAACGTCAGCATCCGGCTGTGGAGCCCCTCCTCTGACAGCTCCTCTTCCTTCTCTTCACACGGGACTTGACTGGCACAAGGAATGGATCCAGTGTTTTAATCTGTACCCATAACCATGCTGACACTGGTATGTGCGTGAACGAGTTGCATAGGTTTACTGCATAGCCTGTGTTTAACAGAGGGAATCAACAGCCACCACAGCAGACAGTGAAATAAGAGCTACTTCCAGAAACCCTTGCATAATCAGTGCACCAACACCACCTACACACTTCTACTGACAGGTGATCTGCACACCAAAAAGGGAAAAGCAGAGACGAATTTTTGAGGGTTGTCACTGTATATGAGTGCTCAAAAAGCTTTCTCTAAAAATATGACCACAACTGTTGGATGTGGATAATAGATACAGTTTACAGTACGTGTGTGTCATGTTGATAAACATCCTAGGATTCGTAAGAGCAATAGAACAACAAATTGTGATAGTTTAGCTAGATCTTGACAGCTATGAGCAAGAAAAGCTTTGCTTGAATGTTAGCAATAATCCATGGCTAATGGAAACTGCATGAAGAAAGAGGAAGCTGGATGCTATTTTTTTTTAATCAGAAATTTTGATCATGAAGCATTTTCACACCAGAAAAATAACCAAAAAGGAAGAAAAAAACAAGCTGTGGTCAGTAGAGGACTGGTTTGAATTTAAGAACTGCAACATGTCAGCTTTAAAATTGTCCCTTCAGGGCTTTTCCCAGTGCCACTCTCTGTAGAAAGAAGTGATGAAAGAACCAAGATCATGCAAGGGAGCAGCAGTTATTACATTTTTCCATTTTCAGCTGACAGTCTGCTGATCATCTTAAAGAGCTCAAAAACTGCTGGAGCTACCAATAATGTCCTGGAGGATAGTAGCATTGCACTATGTCTGCTTTTTCTGAACACTAGCACACATGCTTGTTATATTCTAACCTTTTCAGCTTGGTGTTCTTAGTCTTTTCTGCACACCTGGAGCAACAGGTGGTCACATTCAAAAAGTAACATATTCATTCCATTTAAATGTATCAACAACTGGCATAAGACCTTCAAGATAAATAAGGTTAAACCAAAAAGTGTTTACATGATTTTTTGACATGTTGGATGTTTAGAGGAAGATGCGAACATCTTCCATAGAGAAGAAGAAACCACAGAGAGTGATATATAAATGTATCATGACCCAAACTGATCATTATCATCAGCAGAAAAATCAATACAAATTTTGATATCTTGTGTGTTCACTTTTATCCCTGCCTAACAAAATATTTTACTGATTCAGCTTTCAGAGGTGGGGAACTCCTATTCAATCGGAAAGCATAAACATGAGATTCTAAACGACTTGTAGTGTTTAGTTCTGTGCTGCACAAGCATAAGTACTCACACAAAAGCGTGGTAAACAAAAGCCCATTCCCTCGGTCTTTCCAAAACGTTGTAGAGGTAATTCTGGAGCCGCCGGTAGCGTGCGTTTCTGCGGTTGCTCTGCGCGCTGTAGGTCAGCGGCTTCCCCAGCAGACTCAGGCGGGCTCCCTGTTTCCTCTCCGCTCCCACCGCACCTGCCGCGGCTGGAGACAGGAGACCGTCCCCGACACCCACAACGTTATTCATAGTCTGCCGTCCGCACTCCACATCTTTTAGTGGGTAGTCCTGCCCCCGACGTCCAGTCGAGGTCTTTAGCCAGATCCCGCTGCCGCCGCTTTCGTCGCCGGTATGACTTCGCGGCATGGCATAACTAGCGCAAGCGTGGAGTGCGCTGGGAGACCGGCAGGCATTCACGTGTAGCCAAGTGCTTTTGGGCCAGAGGGTGTGTGGCTACTTTGACTTTCACTACACACTAAGTACAACAAAGCAGTGGATGAAGAGTTAAATAACTAATCTATTGGCTGAACAGTTTCACGGTCTGGCTTGGACACTTTGGCCATCTGCGCGAAGCTGAAGAAGAGTTGGGTTATGAAGGTGTGGATCCATCGATACATTTGACGGGGGGGAGGGTTCTCCCACACTCTCTTTGTTACTCAACTCACTCTCACGCCGGTTTGGCTCTTTCTGGCAAAGTGTGTGAAGCCTGCCGGTGCTCTGCTAGTCATGGTGCTCTTTTACGCATCAGACGGGAAGGGCGCAGCACCACCAGCGCCACGAGATTATTAGATGTCGTAAATCTGGACTTGAACGATAGCAGATTTTCAATCTGGGTGATAAATGTTAACCGAAGAAACGTCAAGAGAGATATATATGCACCGATGACGCAGATTTTACGCAGGTGATGAAACTGCCCAATAACCCCCCAAAGCGTGATCACTGTGCTTGGTTTATGTAAGAAAATGCATCAAATAGCAAAATAAAGATACCTTATCTACAGCTAATAACATAGTTTCTTTGAAACGCTTCTACAAAGAAAGAAAGTCCCTCTGGGGGTAAGACTTTCAGAGGAAGTTAACTATGAAGTAGTAGCCTGTAAAGGGAAATACTAAAGACTGTGCAAGGATTAACCTACACACATATGCCTAAATAAAACTTGAATGACTGCTTACACTTAAAGGAGAATGAACAGCACATTAACATTATTACATACTAGGAGAAACAGAGTTTACAGTAAACAGAACTGGACTCAGCAGCTGTAGACAAGATGGTCCGCTCGGTCCAAAACTATTTCCGCCCAAAACAGAATATGCTTTGCTGGTAACAGCTGCGTCACGCTCTTCCCTACTGACCGATCACGTGACCCGTGGAGAACTACTGCCTTATTTTCCACCTTTACTGGATACATCCAGTTAAATGTACACGATGTGTTTAAGAGCTGTAATTAATTATTTATTTAGTTGCTTGCTTGCCATAATAACTTAAACAACTCCACTTCGGTAGCCCTGAAGCTGAATGGTTTTTTACTCTAAACCTTCTATCTGATCACTTGTCACTAACTTCTTTTGTATTTAATTACAACTAAGTATTTTCAGGCCCAACTTAACAGCTTTTGTATTAGTAATAGTTGTAGAAGTGATGGCCATCAGTTTCCACCACGTTAGCTAGAAAAACAATACAGTTATTATTCGCGTACATGGCTTGTTCCAGTTCCAATCCAAGCCTGACCTCTAGTGGTCAATCATAGGACGTACGGGGGTTACCCACTTCATGGCCTGCGCCACAGCGTCTATCTAGACCAGGGGTAGGCAACTCCAGGCCTCGAGTGCCGGTGTCCTGGAGGTTTTAGATGTGTCCATGATCCATCACAGCTGATTTAAAGGGCTAAATGACTCCTCAGCATTTCTTGAAGTTCTCCAGAGGCCTGGCAATGAACTAATCATTTAATTCAGGTGTGTTAACCCAGGGTGCGATCTAAAACCTGCAGGACACCGGCACTCGAGGCCTGGAGTTGCCTACCCCTGATCTAGACGTTCTTGAATTTTCTCATGAATATTTCCATTTTATCGTGGTTTTGACTTTTGATTGATTTGATTGAGCATACATGAAGACATTTTCTTTCTTTCTTTCTCTCTGGTTTATCCCTATCAGTTAAAGTGTTTTCTTCATATTTATTTTTTGATATAAATCATGGCTGGAGGAATGATTTAAAAAGAGGAAAATGTAATTTCATGTTCATTTTTTTATGAATATACACTACAGGTCAGACGTTTTAGAACACCTAAAATTTTCCAGTTATTTATTGCAATTCCAGTCGTAAAAACCCATGAATGGATAGCTTGAAATGGTACAAAGGTAAGTGGTGAACTGGCAAAGGTTAAAAAAAGGGTAAGTTTACCCAAAAGTGAAAAATAATGTACATTTTCAGAATTATACAAAAAAGGCCTTTTTCGGGGGACACATAATGGGTTAACAATTTAAAGCTGTTCTGCAGCAATAGACGTTGATCAAGCCTTAAAAGCTGGTCTACTAATTCCTACAGGTGTTCCAACTTTTCTGGATTACTTACAAGCGCCTCTGTCTGCATAAAAGCAGTGTTGGAACATACTGTGGTACCATAGCCTCGTGAGCATCAGCTGAACAGTATTGTACTGCAGAAAGTTGTGTGTTGCTACCAAAATGGCGAGAAAAAGACAATCAACAATGGAAGAGAGACAAAACATCATAAAATTTAAAAATGTAGGTCAGTCCTACAGAGAAATTGCAAAGAATCTCAAGGCGTCAGTGAGTACAGTTTCCTTCACCATCAAAAGGCACTCAGAAAATGGGGCAAACTCTGACAGGAAGAGGTCTGGCAGACCCAAAGCCATAACTGAATCAGGGGACAAGTTTCTAGGAGTTAACAGCTTGCGTGATAGGGGGCTCAACAGCTTCAAGCATAGCTTAATAGTGGTCGTAATAAGCAAGTCTCAGTTTTAACTGCAGAGAAGACTTCGAGCTGCAGGTTTGACAGGATGAGTTGCAGCAAGAAAGCCATTGCTAAGATGCCAGAATAAGACAAAGAGGCTTGTCTGGGCCATGAAAGACTGGAAGAAGGTATTATGGACTGATGAAACAAAATTTGAAATCTTCAGTTCATCACACAGGATCTTTGTACACCATTGAGTAGGCGAAAGGATGGTTCCACAGTGTGTGGCATCAACTGTCAAACATGCAGGAGGAAGTGTGATGGTCTGGGGCTGTTTTATTGGATCCAGGGTCAATGACTTGTACAGCGTGAGAGGCACCCTGAACCAAAACAGCTACCACAGCATTCTGCAGCGGCATGCAACACTCTCTGGTCGGCCCCTAGTTGGTCAGGGGTTCATCCTACAGCAAGATAATGATCCACAACATAAGTCCAAGCTATGCCAGAAACTTACTTAGGAAAAAAGAACAAGACAGTAAGCTTGAAAGTATGGAGTGGCCAACATAGTCTCTCCCATCGAGCTGGTTTTGGGACAAACTGGACAGAAGAGTGAAAGCAAAGCAACCTACATGTGCCCCACATTTATGGTAATCTCTGCAACAGATATGAGAAGAGCTTTCGATTTTTATTGTAATGTGCCACCGGGGTGTTCAGCTGTTATATCTGCCAAAGGTGGCTACTTGAGTCAAAGGTTTAGAATAAATTTTGGTTTCTAAATTGATTCCATGATTTCTTTTTTAACTCTAATTGCTTATTTGTACTATGCTTTCATTTCAGAGCTCAATGAGACATTAAACTGCATAATTTTCAATAAAAACCTGAAAAAATTGGGGTTTTCTAGTGTATATAGATAACACTTCTCTTTTCAATAAATAGATTCGAAACTACTGCCAGCTAAACTAATGCTGTTTACTGTACACTCACTAATTTCAGTCATTCGGCTCTGTGAACAGAATTTGAGACCAGGTTTGTTTCTTCGTGCATTTGGGGGTTAAAATTCAAACTGCTTCATTTTAAGGGTTTTTGTGACGATGTGTCACTTTCGACGCTTAACCCAAGGAGAGCTGTGCGCGGTGTTAAGAGTATTCAAGGATTAATCGGTCCTTTGAGGATCACTTTAAGTGCTCCGCTGTCTTAACTGGCACGACTTCAGGACCAAGGACAGCGAGACACAAATTTTACATTGGTCGATGACAACGTAGATATACATAGATATAAAGAGAGAGAATAGATGACCTATTATACTAGCAGCATTGGTTGTGTTGCAAGCAAACAGTGACGATAGGTGAGAGAGCGACCGAGAGGACGGTGACTATAGTCGGTGATAGAGTGTGTATAGAGAGAGAGGGAGAGAGAGACAGTGCAACGGTTGTCAGGGTCCTGGGACTGGGCGACCCAGGATCCCTGGGCAGTCATGGACCTGTGTATTATTATTATGTATTTTTGGTGTCGTTTCCCCTTCTCTGTGTGTGTACATATGTGTTTCTCTGTGCTGTGTTAGTCTGTGTCCCACTCATATGTTCAGGCGAGGTATGGGTGTGTATGTCTGCGGGTGTGCCTGGAGGATGGA